TGTATTTTGTACTTGGCATTTTTCTGATTAAATTCTTTGAATAAATCCATCTTTTACTTTGAAAATAACACAATAATTATGTACTAAATAGTAAAAACACAATTCTTGACCTAGTTCTATCTAACATATTAGTTAGTGACTTGCGGATGTGTACTTTTCCCTTATCAAAAGTTGATATTCACCACCCACCTTTTAAATTCAATGTATCAGGCCATGTAACTGACAACCTGAGCTATAACCAAGAGCCTAAGTTTAAATACCATAAAGCTGACTACGGTAAAATAATAAAAGAACTTAAGACAATTAATTGGCATGAAAAATTCGCTTCGTCTTTGTGTAGATAGCATGGTGGGGGTATTTTACAGTACTGTTAATCAACTCATATCAAAATATGTGCCCATGTCTCAGCCGCATTCGAATAATTACCCTGCTTGGTTCAATAAAGACCTCATCCGTTTATTGCGTGAAAAAAACAAATACCGTAAGCGTTATATTCAGTTCAAAAACCCATTAGATGATATTTCCTTTCACATTCTCAAAACTAGATGTAACAAACTTGCACATAGTAGCGATAACTCTTACATAGAATCAATCGAAACCTCGTTAACCTCTAATCCCAAACTGTTTTGGTCTTTTTTAAAGCAGAGGCTTACGCCTCTGCTTACCCTTACGGGTTGCAGTTCATATCCATCTGCTATGACTTATAATTATAAAGACAAAATTGCACATACGGGGCCCGAGATCTGTAATGCCTTCGCCTCATGTTTCTCATCTGTTTATGACTGCGATTTTAATAGTGCGAATATGAACACTACATGCTCACTTGTCCATGATGCCTCCGGATCTCAGACCTTACACGACATCACCATAACCACAGGCATGGTCGAAAAAGCACTGAAGGCACTTGACCCAGATAAGGGTGCAGGTCCTGATGGACTCCCGTCTTCTTTTGTTGCCTCTTGCCATGAAGTCCTTGCCGAACCTCTTTCCCTGATTTATAACAAATCGCTTAGAACAGGTACCTTTCCCTCCATATGGAAAGAAGCCTTAATTGTACCTGTATATAAATCTGGAGACAAGACTTCAGTAAATAACTACCATCCTATCTCATTGTTATCAATTTTCGGAAAGGTTTTTGAGGTGCTTGTACACCCGTTCTTGGCCTGGCATTTTAAGAATATTTTACTACCACAACAGCATGGCTTTATTAGGCCGCGTTCTACAGTAACAAATCTGGCGGGTTTCGTGTCTGATTTGGTGGCAGCTGTGGTAGGATTTCAGCCGAGCGTTCGACAAGGTTGACCACAAAACTCTCGTCTCTAAGTTATTCCGCTACGATATCTTCGGTAACCTTCTCAACTGGTGTGAATCATACCTGACTGAACGATCCTCCAGAGTAGTATTGAATGGTTTCATATCTTCATCATTTTTGATAGCCTCTGGAGTCCCACAGGGATCACACTTGGGACTTTTATTCTTAAACGCGTTCATTAATGACGTCGCTTCCTCCTTTCTGAATTCTGAAATACACTTATATGCAAATGACCTAAAAATCGTCAAGTTATTTGATAATGTTAACGATCCTATACTCCTTCAGGAAGATCTCGACCGTTTCTCTTCCTGGTGCAAAGTAAATTCCATGAAACTTAACGTTTCAAAATGTAGCTCTATACACTTCTCTCGGAGAAAATCTCCTTACTTTAATACCTATAAAATAAATAATGATATTATCGGAGAAGTGGACGTTATTCGTGATTTGGGTGTGTTCATGGATCAAAAACTTCGTTTTCATATACATATAGACAAAAATACTAAAAAGAGCTTTAAACTTTTGGGATTTGTATTACGAAATTGCAAGGAATTTAGACAAGCCTCAAGCAAAATAGCAGTTTTTAACACCTTGGTTAGCTTAGAATACTGCAGTGTGATTTGGACACCGTATTACGAGGTTCATAAACAACGTATTGAATCCATATCAAAAAGGTTCTTGGGGCACTTAACTTATAAACACTACTTGTCTAAACAACTACCCACATACAGATCGCGTCTGATTCACTTTAAGCTTAACGGTCTCGAAAATCGACGTAAAATGCATGATCACATTTTCTTTCTCAAATTACTAAACGGTCACTTAGATTGCTCACACTTGTTAGCGCAGATTAACTTTAATATCCCATATAAATCTGTGCGACCTTCACGTTATGCACCTTTCCGAGCAGGGGCTTCCAGAACTAACCTTGGTCATTTTTGTACCATTAATAGACTTCAGTCACAATATAACACACTATCACGTACGCTGGCCGCTTCATCCAAACACAGTGTATAGACATGTCTTCTTCTCTTCGCAAATTTAAGTCTGCTCTTTTATACTCCTTTGTACCCACATAGATCGAATCATATTATTGTTAAGTATATTATTGTTAAGCATACCACCACAACGGCGACGATTCTGGCAGCGTTCTTTAGGCCTAGACTTGGATTAGGCGGCAGTGTATCCTTGTCATTCTCAATACAGAGTGCAAGTGAGGGACTGGTGTTGGATCTGTTTTTGGGTCTGGAGAATAATGTCAGAATGGATATGAATATGTACCTAATATTTAGTTTTGCAGTTTTGAAGTGTTTGTATTAAATTCCCTTATTTTGTTTATCTTATATCTACTTCGTAAGTAAATTTTTTACGCATGCAGTGGCAGCTTTTAAGTTAGGCAGCACTAAGAATGTTTTTCTTTATTTCTTTCTTAGTTTGTATTTTTATTTGGTACTTGTTTTGTTGGCTGTCCTTAATAAATAAATAAATAATAATTCTTAAATTTGTTCATAGTGGATATTGTGAAATAAATTTGGTGTGATTCTGTGTTACAACTGTCTGCGCAACTGAAGCATTAGTGGAATCTTTAAAATATACGCTATTCCAGTCAAGTGGACGTGAAAACTTTTTTGTAGTGTTGACTACTTCACAGAAGCTTATCGGAACAGCCAACTCGATACATTTCGTGCCAAACACTCCAAGTAACATTATATTGAGTTACACCATCATTCTAATGAAAAAAAAAAGAATATTAAAATAACATAAGACTTGGCTTTATGGGCATTGTTCCCTTTGCCTTTGCTTAAAAGGGAGGATCTTAAATAAAAAACTTGTTTTGCTCAGAGAAATTTTATTCACCGAAAATTTTACATTACAGTAGAGGTGGGTCGTCGACGTATTTTTCGTCGACGAAACTAAACCGTCCACTACCGTCCATCGACTAGTCGATCAACTAGTTGAATTCTTCAACTAGTTGACGTGATAACGGCAAGCGTTGAGGGGTTCATATTAACTACGCGGTTAGTGTTGGGTAGGACCCGACTTGAAAAAGAGTTTGTAAGAGTAGCCTCTTTTTTGTACTGAGCCAGTACAATGTCCCACTTCAAATGAGGCGAGGCGTAGTGAAGCTCGGCAATACATTTGAAGTGACAAGTACAAATATGACATTGATTCGTACAGAAGCTCGACATTACGTTTGTGTACACGAGTAGCACCTCCTCTACGCACTATCAATCTTGCTGGATCCAGCATGCAGGACAGCGCTATTTACGTAAAAGAGATAGAGATACAGATGGATAGTGCGTAGAGGACTTAAATGAAATGTCATGCCTCGCTCTCTCTTAGACTTACGAAGAGTGAGTGAGTAAGGAGACGCGACTATCGCTACATTTAATGTGAAGTAGTACATTTTAAAATTTTGAGCCGCTCTTACATTTTGACGTCATGTCCGGGACAAATGTACCCGTACCGCCTCTTGTAAGTCCTACTCAACACTATACGTGGTGACTGGTCTACGGGCGCGACGCAACGACGACGACAGGGTCTTTATTTAGTATTCACTTTACATTATAGTCATTTGTGTAAAATGTTTACAAAATAAATTACAAATTAAACTCATAAAATAATCATTCAATTCAAACGAACTTTGCACTAAATTCGCATTCACGTGTCCCTTGACCTTGACCTCGCGATACACTAATTTTAATTTTTTTTTCTTTTTTTCTCTTTATTTGTGGCTACAAACAGTCATACATTTTAATATAGTTGTTCTGTGGTTATAGTGAAATTATAAGAGACGACCTACAGTGCCAGCAATTTAACTTATTAGTTACAGAAAAACATTATAGAACAAGTATTGTACTTAAAAAAATAAATTTTAATAAACAAAACTGCAACATACTTGAGGTAAACAATTATTATAAACCCGTTCATCCTGCACTGCATCGTTTAGCCAGATCCATCGACGTACTCTTTCACGCAATATCAGAATACTCTTGCCTTTTCACTCTAACAACTCTAGTTTAAAAAAAACGAACAAATATATCAACTCCCACGCCATATGCTTAAGTTTCAAATTGCTTTATTTCAACGAATGAACGCACGTATGGACTTGTAACCGGTAAACCGGATACGTTTACGCGTCGACGTCGCCTTGTCAGTAAATATGAACGCTGTGGACTCTCAGTTTAGCCGTTTATGAATTCAACTAGTTAACGAATAAACTGTAGACCGTCGAAGCGTAGATTGAACGTAGACCGTCTATTTAAACCGTTCGTTAATTCAACGCCCATCGCTACACTACAATATGTAGACTGCGACTCGGACATGGATGCTTTAACGAACATTTATTCAGAATGAACATGGTTTCCTCCCCATCATGCTCGTTCTGCAGCTTCTCAAGTCAGTCACTTCATCATTTGTTCCTCGAATGCCCTCATTTTGCTCTTCAACGAATATTTCTCAGTAATAGTTTGCTTGAAATCTACAATTCAGCCGAGAACATCCCGCGTTCCTTACCTGTACTTCTCCAAAACCCACAATGTTATTTGGCACTGTATAATTACATCAAGAGTACTATAGAAGATATTTAAACTTGGATTTCGAATTATTCCTTATGAAGACTTGAAGAAAAGAACTTTTAGTCTTGGCTGTATGGCGCATTTTGTCGTCTTTGCCTTTTCCGTTTAATGAGCGGAAAGAACAGAACCAAAAAAAAAAATATAAAACTTGTTGAAATTTATGTGGACATGGCTATTTTTGTAGAAATGATTTGCTGTTAATCTTATTTTTCGATTCATACTTAAAGTAAAATGGGTTGTGCTCAAAGTGAAATTTCACCCCAAAATGAAGCTCCAAAAAAAGGTTGCACTGACGTACTTTGGCTGATTATTTACATAATTTTTTGGATCCTAATGGTTAGTAAGGACTGAATAGTTTGTAAGCAACAAAGGTTTTAAAATGTTTTAATAGCACTATGGTTATTTCTAGTTGCCATAAGTTATTTTGTTATAATTTTCAATGTTTATTATTGATACTCTTTTCGTCACCTTGCTGTTATTTTTATTACAGATTATAGTAGCTGCTATTTCCTTTGTATACGGGAATCCGCAAAGACTAATCAATGGCTATGACTCTTTTGGCAATACTTGCGGGGTTAAAAGTAACAAAAAATTGATCAACTTTCCATTAGCTGGGATTAGTACAGCTGACAAGAATTATTTATTTTTTATGGATGTTAAACAATTAAGACGCTCACTGAAAATATGTGTGAAACAATGCCCTAATAGAAAATTGGAGACTTTCAATGATTTACAGGATTTTTACAGACAAACTGGATCAAGTCTATGTAGATATGACATTAATTTAAACAATGTAACAAACAACAAGGACCTTCACAATTTTATAGGCCCTTGTCCTACACTGCCAGTATATGACTCCTTTCCACTTCTCAATAGATGCTTCCCTAAATCTGCTCAGGATTTAGCTAAGAAAGTTTTAAATAATTTTTATGACCTACTGAATACCTGGGATAATGTTGAACAAATGTTATCTGATATTTATTCAGCTTGGAAGGAAATGATTATCTGTGTTATTGTTGCATTTCGTAAGTATTTATACATAGGTACATATTTTATAAAGGCGCTGGTAAACATTTAGAAATAAGTTGCCTGTTTAGGGGATTGTGGGGGAAGGGGTAGAGAAAGTGAGATGGCCTCTATAGCTCGCATAATGCCTGTGCTTTGTTACAGTGGATCTTTGTTAGCCCTGTTATTCTGCAGGCTCATAAAAACACTAGGGGGGGTTACAGACTATGACCATGGCAGTTTGGCTTGACTGATTCAGTTTTTTAACAAGTTTTGACCAAACCAGATTAGAGGGCTTAATAAAAATAATTGTAATGGAATGATGCAAAATATTCTGTCTGAATCTGGAATGAAAGATTCTGTTTGTTTAACAATAATTCTACATATAAAAATTAAGTTTATGATTACATTTTTTTTTAAATATTCAGATGCATCTACAGCAGCCAAATTTTATTACTTCAGGGTTTCTACTGTTATAAATGATGTTCCTTAAACCTTTTACACCTCCAGTAGCCTCAAATTCAGGTAACTTGTTAATAAGACCAACCGAAAGTGCTTATTATATTTTAAGCATTGAAATTTTAGATTTCATATTATTTCATAGTTAAATTTTATTGGAGCACTCATCCGGGGAATTAGGTTCTACCTTACAGAATGTAAAAACACTAGGGGAGTGTGTCTATCACAGACAAAGGTAAATAAATACAGAAAAAAAAAATATACAAATAAAATCATAGTAATATTTCTTTTTAAAAATTACACATTGGTGTAGTTCTTGGCAAAGGGGTGACATGAGGCCTACTCTCATAAGAGCGGCTGTCTAAATGCTGCTCCGACGATATGCCTTTTGATGTGTATCTACAGAACCCTATATTAAGTGTGGTCTGATTCAGTTTGCCTATGTTTTTAGTTCTTGCTTCATCATTCATGGTAGTGTATAAGTGTGATTATGAAAGTGAGGATCATAATATATTCATACTCTCAAGCAGCCCTTTTAAAATTCTGTCAACTCTAGGAATATATGCAATGCAAACTGAAACGGAGATATTTGAAGCATTTTTCATTTAATTTGCAATCAGAAGCAACAGAGCTTTGCAATGTAAAAAGGGGTTCAAGATATATGCAACCAGAATTCACTCACACTTTATATCAAAAGAGGTGGAGTACCAAATAGAGCCTTCCTTAAAAACAGACCTGGAGAAGTGTAACTTTGCATTAATGTGTATTTTTTTGTCATATCTATTTTAGCTCATTTGCTTAGGACTTGTATTTTAAATAACAGTAGGATATAGGTAGTTGTATTACAACACTGACTCATTTGAGGCTATGATGTCATTCAAAACTTTGCAGATGATCATTAACAGTAAAGACATTTTTAAGTAACTAACTTCCACTCCTGCGACTATGCTTGTGTTTAATTTTGTTTTAAAATTTTAGTTTGTACCATGTTTATTTACAAGTCTAATCACCATAAAAGTCGGCTAAATATGCTTCAGAAAAAAGAGACAGGGGGTAGAGCTCAGATTACTAAACCAAAGCCAGATGTAACGCAGAGAACATAAAAGTGCAGCTACCAAAGCAAATGCAAAGTCAAAAGCAAATACAAACTCACGTCTGTACACTACAACACAAATTGAATTTGAATAGTGAATTTGGCCCATGTCAGAAATTATCAAATGTTTTCTTTCAATCACATCCTTCTTGACTTGCTATAGTCAAAGGCAACTTATCTTTTGGTGTCTTGTGTGTTTATTAGATTTTCCTTTGTGCAGTTTGTTCATTGGCGATGGTGTCTATACTTCACTTGCTGGCGACTTTGGTTTCATTTATATTCATGATCATAGTATCCATTGTGAGCATAGCTGGAACTGCACTTTTGTGGTACACATACCATGAACTAAAGACAAAACAGAAAGATTTCTCAGGCACTTCATTCTTGGCTGTAAGTTTCAATATGATTAAGTGTTTTTATCATAGCTTTAATGTGACCATTCAGCTGCTGATACATTTTTATACCTATCTTAAATAAATGTTCATTATCATCATCATCATCAGCCTCTAGTCTTAATGTTCTTCCTTACGGATGTAATAAGGAAATTGTGCCATGACTCGCCACATGGGCTCAGTGCGCATTTAGTGTGTGCTAACGATTGCAGAGAAAAAAACTTTATTATTAAAGAAATATATTTACGCAGTAGACATTTTTGTATACATAATAACTATATTTTATATATCAATATGACCTTGTTTAACGGAACACTTTTTTATTTCAGGAATCATTGAAAAACGAGAAGGCTTTCTTATGGTATGCCATAATCGCCACTATTATAACGGTATGTAAGTACATAGTGTCAAAATGTCAAAACACATTCAATTAAAAAGAGAAGATACGGTACGCTCATACTACCATCAAGTAAAATATGCTCCGAACGGTACGCTCATACTACCATCAAGTAAAATATGCTCCGACTCAACTACATAAGCAACTCTCACACACGCACACTTCTGTATATAAACATTCAATCGAGCGAGCGAGACAGAACTGTATCCTTCAACACTGTTCGAGCGAATCGGCGAGGCCGCACGGCTGAGCTGTATTGTCTTTTTCTTGATAATAAAATGGCGATTACGTAAATAACATTCACGACAAACCGTGATTTTTGAGAAAAAAAAAGTTTTATGCATGCAAAGTGTTGCCGAGGCATTTGTTATTTGATTTTGAACTACATATTTGTGTTCTTTAGAAAAGCATCGATGGCATTGTTTTATCTTTATAACACATAATATTCCTACGCAATAATGTTATATTGAGTGCACTAAAGCTAATTGTGGTCTTGCACCACAATTTAAGCGGATCACTTTTGCGCCGCGAGTGCCGTATCTTCCCTTTTTGTTTTAATCTAAGACAATTACTATTAAAAACATATAAACCCAATCTACAATCATCAAAGAACTGAAGTATAAATATTTTTTTTTATAATAAATCCATTAATTATTATTTTATAAGACCTAAAACATCAACCGTAAAATGAAATATATATATACTAATGCTCAACTACTCGCCAATCTGTAGGGCGCCAACGCCCTTCGAGGCAGGAGTCATTTTTTACCGCACGCGTCCCGGCAATTTCATGCGAGCAGCTGACGCATAGTCCCCGTTCCACGATGCAGCTGACTATTTTTTTTCAGCTCAGTATGATGTCAATTATTTATGAAAAAGTTTCAGCCGGCCTACTATTACTTATTTTTTAACCACTTCCGCAACCTCCCAATTTCACACCCACCGCGGGTGCGCAAGCCCACGCTTGGTTCAGTTATAAGCTTAGATTAAAACAAAAAGGGAAGATACGGTCCGCTCATACTAGCATCAAATAAAATATGATCCGATTCAACTACCTATGCAACTCTCACACACGTACATGTCTGTAAATAACATTCAATCGAGCGAGCGAGACAGAATTTTACGCTTCAACGCAGAGAGAGCGAAACGGCGATTCAGCTGCCGAGTGCGTTTGCAGTTTGTTTTAATCTAAGGTTATTGGAGATCTATAGTAAAAGAAGGCAAGCAATCGGTGTAAAATCACTGCCGAAAATGCAACGTACGGACTATATTGAACGACTTCAGATCAACATTGGTGGAAGCTCTGCAAAATACAAAGAGATGCTGTATCTCCAAATCCACACCTATAAAATCAGGCCCTTTGCATTTGCTCCATGTCCGTATCTCACTGATTTTATCTTTTAGGTGATCTTATTGCTGCTGGTGTTGGTGATGCGTTCACGCGTATCTTTCCTTGCGGCGTTGTTTAAGGAGACTGCTCACTGCCTTGGCTCTATTCCATCGCTGTTCTTGCAGCCTATTATAACCTTCCTATTTTTGATACTTTTCTTCACATTTTGGTCACTTGTTGTAGTAAGTATGTACCTATTTATACATATAATAAAATGGTAGGAAAGTCAAAACTATACATTGTATATATTGTTTTAAACTTTCATGGTCACTAGCATTATAGATATTAACGGGATTGTTACCATGTACCTTGTTTTTTATGAGTCTCCGATATTTCGGCACTGTTGCAAGCGCCATGATCACGGAGTAACTGAGTTACTCAGTAACTGAGTTACTCCGTGATCATGGCGCTTGCAACAGTGCCGAAATATCGGAGACTCATAAAAAACAAGGTACATGGTAACAATCCCGTTAATATCTATTATACATTGTATATTTTTTTAAATAATACTTGGGGTGTGATCTACAATCGACACCGAAGCCAAAAATATAGTTTTTAGAATTTTTGTCTGTTTGTCTGTATAAAAAAAAAACTCAAAAAGTACTGCATGGATTTATTTCTAATTTGGCAAGAATATTATTAAGTAGTCGGGCTAACATATAGGCTACATATCGTCGACCGTAATTTCAATTGGCGTAAGGGACAAACCATCACTTTTCAGGAGAAGCCAAAAACGTTTTTATTTTATTTTAAACAGCTGTAACTTTTTATATTGTACGCCTATTTTGATCATTTCAAAGGAAAGCATACATAAAATGTTGAGTTCTTTAACCTGTAGCTATTAAAAATACTCTAAATTGTTTATCTTCTTAAACAAAGTCCCTTACGACCTCCTCATTTAAACCACTTCTGTCCCATACAGCTCGTGAAAATGTACACAATACATACCCATTGGGAAGTAAAGGTTAGTTTTACTAATTAACATAAACAATTTTGGTCGTAACGGTAGTTAAAAATAAATGAAAGACGTAACCAAACGAAATTCTTATTAAAATAATTAAATTACTACGGATATTTTCGTTTGTGAGGTCATTTGTAATGTTTTATAAAAAAGAAGACAGAGTTATGTCATATTCTTTTTATTTCACAATAATAAAACGCTCGAATTCTCTAACTGAAGAGTCGAGTATGGCAATCATTCATTACGGAACTGAAATCAAACTTAATTATTCGCAGATTTCGCAGAAAGGAACTATTTCCGTTTCATAACTATTTTGAATAGCTGGCTAAGAAACATGTAAATGATACAAATTAAAATAAATAACATCTTTAGTCCACGCTCAATGATAGAAACGCTTTAAATGACGTATAAAATTAACAAAATGCAATAACAAAAAATCTCTGGATAACTTCTCCAATAAAATAACAAACATCACTTAGACCCACTTTTACTAAAGTTCTTAATTCAAATTTAAAGCTAATCATGTTGAAACCTCATTCTATCTCTATTTGACTTTAAATTGACAAAGATGAAATGATGTGTTAAACACGATTAAGCCTTATTTTGAATTGAGAGCTTTGGTGCAAGTGGGCTTTAATCTAACAACAAAATTTAGGAACCAAAGCCCACTTGCACCAAAGTTCTTAATTCAAATTTAAAAGCCTCATTCTATCTCTTTTTGTCTTTTAACAATTGACAAAGAGGAAATTAATTATCTGTTAGGCTTAATTTGAATTAAGAACTTTGGTGCAAGTGGGCCTAAATCCTGAACAAAAACGTCATCATACATAATAGGATGACTTTATCAATAAGACACAAAATAAATAAAAAATAAACAATTTCAAAGTCAACATAACAATTTTTGGTGACCTCTCTAAAGTTATGTAATCTCAAAATCATTGAAATTACTATTTAAGCAAGAACAAAAATTGCTAAAATCTTAAATAATCAAAAACTCTGTATGTATTTTCCAAAATACAATTTGACTGAAAGAATAGTGAAATCTGAAAAACAATTGTTTACGAAATAAAAATTTAAGCACTTAAATCTACGTCATCATCTTCTTCGTCGGTCTCTGGAAGTGTGTCCACAACTTTGGACATAAACGGTAACTCACTGTATTCTTTGTGAAACCGTTTTGGGATTGTACCATTTTCACACAAGCGCTTCAAATCTTTCTACTTAGCAACTGAAATGGGCAGCCGTTCCTTATACAACGGTTGCAATACAATATTCTTTTATTTTCATTTTCAATAATTTGCTGTTTTCCCTTACTCTGTTGTTTCTTTTGTTCCCTTTTGTTTTACTGAAAACAGGGTGTGATATTTACGACCTATTTCTTAGTAATGATAATATTGTATTGTGATCGTAAAGGATGTGAAAATATAGTTTATCAATTATGCCCTACTACTTCTTTACATAGTGTTACATACGACGTTAAGTCTGGATAACCGAGACCCTTAAAGTCTTTTTTTACACAAAAACGTGTTTAGAGTATAAAAAAAATTGGGTCTTAACGAACCAATTTTGCAAGATATCAACATTTCAAATATACCATTCGATAGAGAACTTCAAACGAGTGTAGAACGCTAAAAAAGTGTTTTTCTCATTTTTGTCCCTTACGCCAATTGAAATTACGATCGACGATATTATCACGCTATCACCTACGGGGAACGAGTAGTGAACCTTTATTTCTAACTAACTCCACGCATACGAAGTCGCGGGCGGCCGATAGTATTTAATATAAGGTTGGTTTGGTTTGACAAGAAATGAAGACATGAAAGAAAATAATGTATGAATCTGGAGTATAGGTGTAAAGACGGTTATTAACGTTTTCGGCCAGCCCATAACAACCGCTTATTTCGCTGATGACCCATAAACAGCAGTTGTTTACGGTTGAAAACATTACATTATGACTTATTACATCTAATAAGATCTCATTTACTATCTACACTCCCGGACACCTAAATCGAGCCACCTTGATTTTTTTGGTTTGGAGTACTGTAACTTATAAAAGATGTATGTAGAAGGAAAATGTTTTGATGCAGTTTTGGAGCTGGTATACTCATCATTCATTTAGAGTGCCACTGTTCTAAATTTGAACTACAGTTTATTAAAAAAGTCGAGTTACGTTGAAACAATATCCATATTTGCTTTTTCCAAGGAAAAAAATCTAATCGATTTTTCAATAAAGACATGTTTTACATGAAAAGAAATGTTTATTTAGTAACTTGTATTGCCTCCCAGTGCATTTATGATAGCTCTCATACGGTTTGGCATAGAATTAATCAATGTCGTTATGACATGTCGAGGAAAGTCCTCCCATTCTTCCAAAATTAAAATTTTGAGCTCCTGCATGGTTTGCGGGGCAGGATGATGAGCTCGAACACGCCTCTTCAGCTCTTCCCATAGATGCTCTATAGGATTCATATCAGGACTTCGAACTCGCCATCTCATAACAGTGATACAAATGTCATTTAAGTACTCCCTGACGATTCCCGCAATATGGGCCCTTGCATTATCATGCATTAAAACTTGCATTATCATGCATTAAAACGAAATCTTGGCCAATAAATCCAGCATATGGCTTAACGTGGTTCTCTAAACATTGGCGAATGTTTAGAGAACCACGAATGAAATATCTATTGCCATCTAGGGGCGACAGTCGTGGTCCCGTCACTACCTCTAGCTCAGTTTTGCCTTCCATAGAGATTCCTCCCCAGACTGTCCATGATTCTCCACCATAACTCACTTTCTCGTCAGTACAGCATTGCGCGAAACGCTCGTTCTGTCTTCGGTACACCTTACTCCTTCCGTCATTACCGTATAGCATTATCTTGGACTCATCTGTGAAGAGAACCTGGCTCCATTGATGTCGAGTCCAATTTAGATGTTCGCGCGCAAACTCTAAACGGGCTATTCGGTATGCTCGTGTCAATTTGGGTCCATTGGCTGGCTTATGGGGCTTTAAACCTCGTTCATTGAGTCTCCTTCTAACGGTCCGAGCACTTACAGCCACTCCGTGAAAGTCCTTGAGCTGTTCTTGTATCTGAACAGAGTTAAGGCGTCGATTTCGTAAGCTAGTAGTGACAATGTATTGATCTTGTCTCGCCGTTGTCACTCGGTAACGAGGTCCTCCTGTTCGCCGAACGAAGCCGCCAGTCTCCAGGTATCGATGGTACACTCTTTGAACAGCGGAACGACTTATGTGAAGTTGTGAACTCACATCTCGCTGACTTAGCCCAGATTGAAGAAGTGCTACAGCTTGCGCGGCTACTTCAGGTGAAGTATCCATAATTTTATAGCCAAAAACGGTTCAAATTATAGAGAAATAACTAAACTAAACTTTGGTTTACAACAATTGCAAAAATTTAAACCAAATCGACATTAAATTGCTTCAAAAGCAACTTTCAACAGTCATTATTTTTTTCAAATCAGTGACCAAGCTCGGCTTTTGTTGTTTATTTTAAATTCTAAAATTTAAATTTGGAATAATACATACGGGAAAGACGATGAAATATGCCAGCATTAAAAATGCACAAAAACTTTTTAGTTACATTGTATATTTTTTGTGAATTGGGCTTTTAGGCCCGGGAATGTAGGGTGGCTCGATTCAAGAGTCCGGGAGTGTAAAACTGAGACATTATTTTGCGTCGAGCCTCTATTTTTTGTCTGGGATTTTGGGTTAGTATCCCGCTTTATTATACTTATTTCACGCTGTCTGTACTTTGCCATCTCTGAATGATACGGTATTGACGACGACTGTATCAGGGCTTCAACAAAGTTATCACAAGCACACAATATTCTAAATTGCGTTCTAGGTTTGTCTTGCCACAGCGAATTATCAAGGAATTCCATTCCAAACGAACTTTTTCATAAATGGAACCCCGTTGAACGATCACGTTGACAACACAGCCGCACGAGTACAAGAGGTTAACAAAAGCGCTACTTTGAAAAGTGAGTTCAGTCATTATAGTATGTTTTTTAAACTTTTGTGTTTCCACCACGATAGCGGAAGGCCAGGAGCGCGGCGTATTTTTCTAGTAAAATTTCTTTAGTTTTATAAATGTAGCAGTGAAAATCTTTAATTAATTGCCATTCAATAAACTAACTACAATTGCTATTTATTCTTGAAAAATAAATGTTTAATACTTGTAAAAGTATTACGATTGACATCGTGGGTCACCTACAGTATGAAGAGATGGTACTGACTTGCAGCCTAAGAAATATTAGAGAAAATTCGACACGGCCATTCAGGTCTTCCCGAATAGCGAAAGGTGCTGGTTCGAATCATGTCTAATGCATGGACCACGTCGAGTTTTACTAGTATTCTTTAGATTTAAAATTTGCACTTGCCAAAGTATTCTATTTATTTTCATGTTTCATTCAGCTTTCACACTGGATTCCGTGGAGTTTGATCCAATGTGGATAAAGAGCATGTGGTGGATGTGCCTAATTTGTTTGGTATGGGGGAGCGAGTTCATTCTTGGCTGTCAACAAATGACCATAGCTGGCGCTGTCTCACATTGGTATTTTAGGTAAAAAAATGTTTTATGACTTTGTTGTTCTTTTTTAGGGTTCCGTACTTCAAAAGGAAAAAACGGACTTGCACTTGGCCGGTTTTTTTTAATAGGCTATCTACAAAAATTGCTTAAACAATGTTTGAAACAGTGTCTAACTTGTTTGTAGAAAGACCGCTACTGTTTAATGTCTGCTTATCGAATAACAAATGTTATGTAACTAATTTTATTGATAGGGGAGTAAGTTAAGGTTTATGTACGGAAAACAGCACTATAAATTGTCAACATAGTGCAAACATAGTAATTTGCTACTTTAAATCCATCTAATGAGATTGAATTGAAAATCGTATGGAATTTTTATACAGTATATTTTTGTAGTGTTCTTATAACTTATGTTGTATTCCACAATTTTCAGGGGTCCCAACGCACATTCTCCTGTTATGTATTCAATCGGAAAACTGGTGAAGTATCACTTGGGATCGGTTGCTAAGGGTTCGTTCTTGATCACCTTGTTTAAGATTCCACGTCTAATTCTCACATATTTACATGCCAAGTAAGTATCTCTTATCTATTAGACAAGTCCATCCGTCCGTCCGTCCGTGGTGCTGTTTCAGCGGCCAAACCGTAAGAGATAGATAAAGAGAATGTTTAAGTTATAAGTTAAGAATAGTCTGATAAGACTATAAACCGGATTTGAGTAACGTAGCACTTCCGGTTTTCGAGAAATAACGTGATTTCTATTTCAAACGAAACCACACAAAATCTCCGAAGTTCTCAATTAATTAAATACATTTTTTTTTTTGGTGAACATTTGGTTCACTGGTTTGCTAGTCTCTTATCTATTAGACAAGTCCGTCCGTCCGTCCGTGGTGCTGTTTCAGCGGCCAAACCGTAAGAGATAGATATAGAGAATGTTTAAGTTATAAGTTAAGAATAGTCTGATAAGACTACAAACCGGATGTGAGTAACGTAGGACTTCCGGTTTTCGAGAAATCACGTGATTTCTATTTCAAACGAAACCACACAAAATCTCCGAAGTTCTCAATTAATTAAATACATTTTTTTTTGGTGAACATTTGGTTCACTGGTTTGCTAGTACCTTTATTATTTCGTTAGTGGCAAAACTAAAAGCAAAGATATCGTCAACGGGCTGCTTGTAAGTTTTCTTAACTATCTGATGACATTTTACATGCTCTTACCGAGAGTGATATATATACACTTATGTTGAATTTCTCTGGGAAAGTTATTCTACTACAATTTTTCTTTAGGTGTTGATTAAAAGTGTGACATTTTTTTTATGTAAATAAGGCCACCCCTATTTACATTCCATGAGCCCTTGGCACGCTTGATAGTAAGCGATCATTATAGCTTATGCTTATTATGAGCGGCCTGTGTTACCAAAGTATCATTAGGGCGTTGCTTATCGTGACCCATTGATTTTTTACAAATTTTATAATATTTTAGCAGTTTGTGATGACATGATTATGTTTTAGGTTATCAGCCAGAGCAGAGAGGGGATCTAGCTGTGCTAAATGTGGATTGAAATGTGGTATCTGCTGTTTTTACTGCCTCGAAAAGTTTATTCGTTATCTGAACCATAATGCCTACACAATCATCACTATTGAGCGGTGCCACTTCTGTAAAGCTGCTGCTAAGGTGAGTTCCTTCATCCTTAAATTGGTAAAAAAATATTGATTTTTATTTTTTAACTGTATGACTTATGATTACCCTAAAGCTTCTTATACTTTTACTAAGCATCATACTGCTTGATTTTATTATATCTAAAATAATTTTACTAGTAAAATTATCTTTATTATGTTTTTTGTTTATTTCTTTCATCTTTAATGTCGCATTACATTTTTAACTGTTATTACTATTTCAGACCTTATCAACAAGTATCAGTGGTTTAGTTCACTTTTTTATAAATGATTTTAAAAGTTGCACTTGCATCAAATTTTCGTAAAACCAGACTAATTTTTAGATAGACTACTACATTCTCTACGAGGTCGAAACAACATTTTTGTAGTATGTTAATGTTAACATAAAAAACTATTTATCACAAAAATATGAACCAATATGGCGCGTATTTAGACATCAACTCCAATGTTACCATCAAGTGAGGTTGTCGTTTTGACAAATATAAAACAAATAGGTTCTACGCTACGCTTTATGTAGCTATGATTTCGTGACAGGTCCTGTCAGTTCCTTATGTTAACAGAATTAAGTACATTTTAGATCTTGTAAAAAAAGTTCTTCGAAAATAAACTCTATTCTGACAAAACCAGGAACTCATTCTCTCAAGTTATTAATCGCTTGAGAGAATGAGTTTCTCGTGATCAGTGTATCAGAGCAGTACAACTTAATTTTGTTTGTTGATGTGTAACATCTTTCCTCTCGCTTTCGTGCAATTTTTGGTAGTGATTACGCGAAATGGGGCGGAAGTGTGTAACAACAAGTATGGAAAGCGCGCGCTATTTGATTTGATTTTAGAATATAATGTTCAAATGGCTTATTCCTTTTGTAGTAGGTCTTATTTCTAGTTTTACTAATATAAGGTGAGGTTTCACATATTACACATCATTTGCGACTACTGTAAGGCTCGCTCGTTTTTTTCCCTTACTTTACGGTTTTAAATATCTCCCAGGCGTTCAGCACTATAGTGAACAACGCTCTCCAAGTGGCTACGATCAACAGCGTTGGCGATTTCATACTGTTCCTTGGGAAATGTATAGTGACCGGAGTTACTGGAATTATAGGCCTGCTATTGCTCAAGCGGAACTCTGATCTACAATTCTTCGCCGCACCTACTCTCGTTATATGCGTGTTTTCGTTTTTCATCGCACACTGCATATTGTCATTGTATGAGGTTAGTATAAAATGCAACGCTCCTACCCGTGACTTTCTACGGATATATAATTGTATATGAAAATAGAAATATTTTATTTTTCCTACTCGAATTTCCTGAGGGGAAAATAGTATAGTTAAAGTAACGATTGTAAAGATGAGTTTGCACTACGAATGTGGCTTTTATTACAACGAAGTAACGATGTTGTCAAGTTGTTACCCTTGTGGGTCTGATTGTAGAATTTTTAATCAGATAACAAAAGATAATTTATTTCATGCGAAATTAGCTGTTAATTTGTACAATTAAAAAATAAAATACTAGAAAAAGTCTAATATTGACCCCATACGGATATGTAACTAAGACTTAGGAACAAAATTTGTTTGAGTTTATGACCAAGTCAAATTAAATACTCGAATTCGAATTTAGGACTGTTGTTACTGAAAGCAGAATTGCTATTATTGTACAGTCAACTTTATATTTGTATACACATAATAAGCTGGTTACCGGCGCCGATCTACAAGCGCTTATCAGTACTTGTCCGTTCAGATAAACTCTATATAAAGCAAACATGTATAAGCAGCGGCTGTCTGGCAGTCGAGTGATGTGCAAAATGCCGAGCTCATCAGACGAAGATATTTTTATGTTAAAAAATGTGTTTCTCATAATGCCAAAACAAAATACATAAATAAAGAATAGATTTTTTTCCGGAGAATATCATCATTTATTTCAAGACATGAAAGTGGACAAGCAAAGATATTATAGATATACAAGAATGACTCTAAAACATTTTACTACATTTCGGATAAAGTGATCAAAACATCAAAGTGATCATCGATTGATAAAAACAACCTATCCTCCCAGAAGAAAGCTTTAAAGTATAAAGACTGCCTGCGCGGACCGGTTTTGATAAGCGATGGCAGATCGACATCGGTAGCCAGCTTTTTACATGTATTCAGCCTTGAGCTCAAAGTTAGCTGGTAAAATTTGACAGTTTTGGGTAACTTGACTGGTCTCTAAAGGCTGAATAACACTCCGGTCAGTACAGCAGCGAGTTTAGAAATCGGAAAATTGAGCAGTATGTACTTAACTGACAAATCCCTGTCCAATCGATGATAAGAACTTAACTAGCCAAGATCGTAAGTTAACTCGCTACTGTGTTTACCGTAGTGTAAATCAGTCCCTGAATGCTGAAGTAGATCTTGAAGTTTACAGTCATTGAGTATTTCAAATTTGAATAGGGATGATGGTTGGTTGAAGTAAACGAAATTCTATTTAGGCCGTCAGTGAAATAATTAAAAAAATCTGGACACATATTTTTTCTTTTGTAAATTGACCAAACGATGACAAGAATAAAGCGCGTCAAAGTTTGAGAGTAGGGGCTTGTGACGTCACTTCCAATAAAAATTGAACCAAGACCTGACATCATGCGACATTTTAAATTAATATACACTGTAAAGTCTATATAACGACACTAAAGGTACTGTACATTTTATGGCGTTATAGAGAGTTGTCGTTAAATGGAAAGAGGAAAAATCAGAATATCTTATGAAAAAAAAAGTTTATTTCAAACTAGTAGTTATGTACATAAAAAAATAATCTTATTTGAACGCTATTGCGTACCTATATTCTGTTTTTATTTGTCTGACGTCTTTCTGCACCAGTAATTTTGCTGTATTATATTCTTTATTTAGTCATAGTCAACAATAGTCTACACATGCAATCCCAATTTGTAAATAAAAAAACGAATTTCTTAGAAAATTTTGTTTGCATGATGCCGACAGTCGAGTTTATTACAGGCTAGGTTAATAAAGCGACAAAGTAACGTACACAGCTTAAAAGGTACTTTTTATTACTTATTAATTAATATAAATTAATAACTAAATAAATTACGTCGTTATTGAGAGTGGGTGTAATGCTATATGGAGTGTATCATTGTATGGAAAACAAACTGAACCAACCACAGACGAGTGATTTCGACGCTATAGGGAGTTTGTCGTTAAATCGAGTGACGTTGTATGGAGTTTACACTGTATATATATATATCTCTGTAATGTTTTGATTATGTGAAAAAAAAATGCGTATCCAATATTTTTTGACAATCAGACGAAGATAAAAAAGTTAGTCATCATCTCATTCAATGGTATGTACGGTCGCGGTCAGAAAATGTTTACCACCTTAAGGATCATAATTGCATACACACATTTAGGTCACAAGTTCTAAATGTATATTTCATAATAATTTGATTGACCATAGACTATCTTTTTTCTAATGATATGACAATCAATCGCTCTAGGCTCTCGATTTAATGCAAATAAAGATTATTCTATTCTATTCTATTCTAGGAGATGGACTGACTACTAACAAGGTTTTATATATATATTTTTTTAAATACTTCGCGTCACACTAGGATTTTCTTCTGTATCGTGAGTGTAATTACAAACATATAATCTCACATGCTCATATGCCCAGACCAAGACAAATTACTGTAGGCCATACAAAATATATGTGCCGTACGGGAATCGAACCCGCGACTCGTTGCCCAGTAGGCAACGACCTCTGCACTAGCCGTGACGTCAAACAAATATAGAAAACCATTGAAAAAACTAATATTTTAGTTTTTTAACTAAGAATATGAAGAAATAATAAAAAAGAAACTTCAAAAATCTTTATTTAATATCTAGTATAACCTTCCGCTGCAGCTATGACGGCACGTAGTCTATCTCGCATAGATGCAACAAGACGCGCGCATAGATCGGTCCCTCTAATATCACCCTATAGGTATTCGAGCACAGTGTGATCTATGATCATGAGGTTTCCTTTCATTTTGACAGTCCTAGCGTTGAACCATAAGCCCCCATTTATTTTCAATAGGGTTTAAATCAGCAGACCGAGCGGGTCATTGAATGGGACGAATGTCACGGTGCAGGCTGAACCACGCCATAGTAGCACTGGCCGTGTGTATCTGTGCATTATCTTGAACATAAGTAATGTGCGGGAATTCTGTTGCAGGATACACTACGCGCACAATAAGCAGCATCACTACTGTCAAAAGCGACACATAATTAATGGCAGTAGCCCTATTCTCTAAAGACGCCAGTTCTCCGACGTCTTTGAGGCTCATCCACCTCCATAAGTTTACTGTTATACGACCTGACTCGTTTTGAGGCACGATATGAGCTTCATCATACCGAGTTCGATTATAGTGCCATAAAGTTAATCTTCCGGTTTGGCTTGATTTAAAGGTTTTGTCATCGGTAAATATAGTATTCGACCAATCAAAATGAAGATGTTGTTGCGCAAAGTTAAGCCGGGTTGTTTTGTGTTGTGGTTTCAGCTCCATTTTAATGGCATGGTGTCTGTAGTGTAGTCCAGCACTGTGCGAAGCTCGTCGGATCATCCGATCACTTACATCATATAAATCAGCAAAATAACTAGTTGGTGTGAAACCGTTCTCTTCGTAACGACGAATCCTTTCCGCTATTTGCGTGGCGGTTAGTATTGCTCGTCGTCCTGAATTATTTCTATGATCTGTTAATTGCCCTTCTTACGCCGTGACGCTGGATCCAAAACCTCACAGCGAAACGCGATATATTGAGTTCTCGTGATATAGCACTAATATTTATATTTCAGGCCTTTGCTCCAGGGTCGCCATTGCCAGCTTGCCATTTTATTTCGTTATGAAAATTGTTTTCGTAAAATTTTGCTCTTGTCCAAACAATGTTTACACAATCATTTTTTATAAATGTCATTTCAACAAATAAAGACATGAGTTTCAATATCTAAAAAGTAATATATAATTAATTCGTTTTGTTATTCTCGATGCGTAATTTTGCAAAATAACTTTTGAAAGGTAATAAGTTACTTGATATGGCATTTTAGACTTTAGTGAAAAAAGTGTGATATAGAATCTAATTTCAAAACTGGTAAACGTTTTGCTGACCGCGACCGTACCTACATTATATTGTTGATAAATCTTCAATTCACAGTGCTGTAACTTGTGTCATTAAAGTCGTGCCGTCACAAGACATTCTGTGTCATGTGCGAGAGGGACAGAATGTCTTATGTCATCATTCTTGATTCCTTTCTTTAATGACTTGAGTTATATCGCGATTCATGATATTTATTTGTTACAAAAATGAAAATGTTTCTCTAGATGGTTGTCGATTCCCTATTCCTGTGCGTGTGTGAAGATCGCAACATGAACGGTACAGATGGTAGATGGAAGAGTTCCCGTCTGGCCGAGTTAGGTGGTCACAAACGGGACACCGAACCCGACGGGCCAGAACTACAGGATCTCCAAGAAAAGTATTGATCTCACAAACATTATTCGCTATTGCTTCGTATCATCTTAACATAACCTTAAAATTGAACTTGACACGAAAATAAATTACAACGGTGTTCGAATAGCGTCCGGACACGAGTTATAAAGAAGATAGCACTTCGGGTACAACAGAAAAGGGAATGCTATTGTAATCATATATTTATACAATAGTCAGTCAGCAATTTTTCAATTTGATAAGTATTTTTTAGGTATAAAAGCAACTTCTGATCCAGAATCTACAATGGTAACAAACTGAAACCCTTATTAACCTAGTTTTAAACCTTCAGGACAATCAATGCCCAGAAATCGTATTTTTTGGCGCGAAATTATACTTTGATATTATGGCTAAAATAAATTATTAACAAAGTTTTTTTACGGTAGGCCTACATGTGGCATTACATTTTCCTCACATTTATAGCGATACAAAGCCTTTAGAGTATTGGCACTAGAGTTATTGTCTGTTTGTGCCTTAAATATCCATGTAGCTTATTCTGGTAGTACGATATAAGCTCTTACGTCATGTCTGTTAGTAAATTATTATTATACCAACTAACATACAGTATATATCTCGAATAACAAGCTTAATATACATACCTAAGGCATATGCAAGTTGTTGCTTTCATAACATGCTTGCTAATATGGTTTTTAAAATCTGACAAGGACTATTCAACTTATTCTAGTGTTTTAATTTCACTTTATTATATTTTAAACTTTATATGAAATGAGTTAAAAAAAGCAATTACAGTTTTGAATAGATTAGTTTCCTACGAATCTGTTATATAAATGAACTAAGCGACTCTATATATTGAATAATTATTCTAGATTTTATATTTATCTATAACTGCATGTAACAACATTTACATTAGGTAGACATATTGTTTGCCTTTTGGTGTTTTATCCGTCACTTCATGACTTTTACAATCATGTGTAGAACTTTGTTAGAAAGTGTTGCATGTGCATGCACAAATTGATGTTGTTTGTGATAGTTTATTGTGATACAATTTAAGCAAGGTATTTTTATAGAAACGTTACAAATTAGCATGGCATTTCTGGGGTCCAGAGTTTCAATTCCGTAAATAATATAAAAGAAATATATATATTCATCAGAAGCCAGCAACAATCAATGGCTCTTTCACACATTTTATGATGTCATCAAATTGGATATTACATTTTTCACAATACGGCATAATTTCTTTCACTCGGTTATCTTTTTCATATTTCAAAGTTTAGGTACAGCTAGGTTTTATGATGCCCAAAAAAATTGATACATATAATTTATAAGTTTATTGGACAGTGCTAACATTTCAACATGATTCGGCTCCAAAACCAATGAATACCTATATCACGCAGTGTGATTTATGTACGATTGAATAAATATGTTGTCTACAGCTTTAAAGAGCATATGTGCTTGAAGTAAACCCTCACAATGTGAGGAAACTATAATCAATCAACATTGAACACAAGTGAAATGCACCCTAAGTGACAATGACAACAGATTAATGTCAACTTTATGAAATGTATACATACTCATTTTTTTCACAGATGAATCTCGCTCATCGCTCGCGATATAAAGCAGATGTGAATGCTGAATTATTTCATAATTTTACGTGTATTTTAATATTTAACTGCACAAGTGCATGAAGTTCTTTTTATTATTTTACGCAGTACCTACAATCGAATATACATTTTACACTTTATTTTTAAATGAAATAATAATCAGATATTTATCAGTACATACAATCGAATATTATACATTTTACACTTTATTTATAACTGCAATAATAATCAAACATTTATGTATATTTTTGTAACAGCAGTTTTTATTTTAAGTTAGCATTTAAGTAAGTTAATCAATTAGGCTATGCTATTTAGATGTTTTATATAGCACCTGTTTAATATACCTACATATTTTTATATTATAACTTTTACTAATTTCTGTAACTCACGAGACTGTTTATATAAAAAGTGCATAATGTTATTTTTTTTGTAATACTATTGCTAGAAGTTATTTTTGCATTCCAATTTTATTCGTAAACGAATCTTTAGATGTAACTCAGGTGAAGTGTTGATGTGAAAATCTCATAATAATTATTTTATAAAGTAAGTTATCGTAATTTATTAAGATGTTGTTGTTACGGTTGTATTTAAATAATCTTTGACATATTTTCAATTTAGAAATACTTAGTATGACAGATTATTTTTCGGGTACTTTATAGGTATTAAGGACAATGGGCAAAACACACCCAGCTCCGCCAACAATGTTATTAGTATGAATCGATAGATCTATGAAAAAGTAGCCTTTTTATTTTTACACCGTAAAAAAATATCCTGGTAGTCAAAAGATATGACACCTTCAAAAATATCCTGGTAGTCAAAAGATTGACACCTTCAAAAATATCCTGGTAGTCAAAAGATATGACACCTGGGCATGTAGCTAAATAAATTCATTTTATAGTACCTTCATTTTATATTATTAGTAATCATAATAATATGCTATATCGTACTATACAACCAGATATATGACAAAGCCTGCCGACCATCCTGCGCTTGCACTTACTGAGGCGCCTCAAAACGGAAGTCGTTACGGGGGTTGAAGCACTTGCAGTTGCAAATAGTCGACTCGTCTTACTTCTTTGTGATTGTACGCTCCCTGTCACTTGATTGGTTTTTATCTAACACGCTTTGGACATTGGAACACGATTATCGGTTTTGTCAATTAGTATGGATGAACTGGAAACATGTTTTCTCCGAAGCGTGAACAATTTTGTGTGATTTGTGGTCGCTCCGTTTTATATAGAAGGCAATTTATTATAACGAACAAAATGTTTGAAAAAACCCCAACCCATGGGATTTTTGGATTTACTCAAGCGCGGCAGAATAACACAAGGGGGCACCCTTGCACCTTGTGAAGTACTCGCATAATACCTGAGCCCCCTATCTAGGTTCTAACTAAGTACATTAATTCCCTTGTTTTATTAATGTTCGTTCGTTATAGTACTTGTACCTATTGAACTTAAAATAACTAAAGACCCCCGTAATGGAATTTGATGCGCTTTGGTACAGATGATCATGACTATAATACCTTTAAACAAATGTAGTTTAATCCGTGGCGGACGTGGGTGCAGCGTCCATACAATTTGCCCAATGTCCTTTGATAAAATAACCCACAGTAGTGGGTACGTTTACTGTAACTAATGTGAGGCTGCTTAAATGACGAGCCGGTGAAATTAGTCGATTCCACAACGTACCGCATAGGTATTCTGTAAGATGCAATTCATTTATTTGGATTTTTGACAAATCACATCCTCGGCTCAACTAAGTCACAAGTCTTCAAAACTGTGAATATAATTTAATGATGACTAGTTGTTTGTAAATCATGTTAACCATGCCTTCGTTTTGGGGAAACAAAGGATAGCCGAAAAAAATATTCGAATTTTTATTCTCATATATTGGCGCAACACAAGCTCAAATTAATTTATTACCTCAATTATTTATTGTTTGCCTAAAAATATGGAGCCAAGTTTACTATTATTATTAGTATTTAAAGGTGTCACTTAAAGGTGTGTCAGAAAGGAGATTGCTCAGCTTCCATACATGTTTGGCCTAAAGACCAATAATCATGAAAAATTGTTTCCTAAATTACTGTAGAAACGAATATTATTGACGGACACCCCTGAGAACTTCTATAAACCATATACACTGAACATATTAAAATAATAAAAAACAAATAAGTTATATAGTAAACTAGGGAAATCAAGCCAAGTACCGAAATTATGGATTAGATTCAGGTATATAGAGTATGTAGATTAACATATAGTTGCCTGTTTTTAAAGTTAATGCATAAGAGTAACTTTTAAAATCAGATGTCATCTATGCATTTCCGGTACTCTGTGACAAACTGTGTGATGATTGTGAATGAGCCACAGATTAGAGAGAATTTTTAAACTCTCGTTAACCAAAGAAAGCTAAGAGATTTAGGTTCTATAGCCATATATTCAGTAGCTTCATTATTTTTGTTATGTTTTTAAGATAACCATATTTTAGATTTTTAGTGTATCATACCTTATAATTTTATTTATTTATTAATTTATAGTCAGGGAACGTAGGCCCATAGATACCTTACAGTCTAACATATATACAGATTATAATGTGTTTATGGAGGTATTTGGCGAAAAATGTATGGCAAACGATGGCAATAGACTTTATCATGTCGCCTATCATCTATAATAATTGTCTGAGCACATTTGCATCTAGTGAAAATGATAATATAGTTGTGGATATTAATACCACAGTGTAATAAAAAAAATATTTATTTTATCGATCTTAACAAAATAGATTTGTTTTTATGTTATATAAACAACTTCGATCAGTCTTTGGCTGAATGTTACTACACCCAGAGCCATTAAAAATGATTCGTATGTTTTCCAAACCGGTAAAATTAAAAGTCCTTTTTAAAGTATTATACAAAGGTGTCCGTTGAAATCTAATGACTGTAAATTAAATTATAAATTACGTCAAGAATTACCGTGTATGTCAATATTTTTTGTGCATTTAGGCCAATTTCAGCAATCTCCTTTGTTTTTCGCTTTTATTTACATTTTTGCAATAAAACAAAATGAGTTTTTGACATGCAACAGTTACTAAAATACCAAAAAATATGATTTCATCGAGATTTTTAACTTACCATAAATAGCAATCTGATAAATAAGAAAATTAGAAAAAAACTTAAAAGTTCGCTCCTGTAAAATTACAAAATGACCTGTTGTGACTTTATTGTACCAAGGGTGCGAAATGTCATCTATGGTTTCAATAGACATAGTGATATTTTGCCTTGTAATGAGGTATGCATATCAAACTAATGTCTAAAATAGCTACCTAACTACCGAATTATTTTATGAACAGAATCGTCCTAGTGGATACTCATATTCAATTCATGCCATAACAAATAGACGTTTGTGCTAAGCGTTTGTAGTAACATGATGTGTCGAGATTTTCGAATATATTACTCAATTAAAGAAATTAATAAACAATATTCTATTTATATTTAACGAGTGAACGCATCGTAAGTTTACTTGGACGAAGATGACTAGATCATCATAAGAATAATATTTTTTTATAGCCATATTGTGATTTTGTAGGTACAATCATAGCTTCCCCCATAACATTGCATAATACTTATCTGTAAATAAATAAGTATTTTTTTTTAGTTTACGTTATTAAGTATTGGTGTAATTGCTAACAATTATGTTATTATCATGGAACCTTTATAATCATTAATAAATTAAATTGAATACGCAAGATCAAAATGTGAACAAATTGTAATATTTGCAATGCCGTGAAAAACTGAGTAAGGCTAAGTCGTGTGCCACGCTAGCGCGACGCGTTTTGCGTCTGCGATAATCGGGAAAAACAAAACTACCACGTTGGCGCGTCCGGCGACCCGAGGCTCCGTAAAGTATCTTAATCGTCAAATTTTAGGAAAAAGCATTATAAATAAGGATGTTTATGGGCGAAATAATTTATCGACCTGCAATATGGTTCAAAACGTCGCCACTCCTCGCCGCAACTGCTACCAGTCGCTCTAGCATGGCCAACGCGTAAGGACTTACGGAGCGGTTTTTCACGCATCCGTTGTGGCCACAGAGCTGTTTTATTTAGAATTCACAAGACCGCAGCGGTCTTGTGAATTCTTTCTGCGGTCACTGCGCCTGCGTAAAGTCTCGTAAACTAAACAAAATAAAATCGGATGAAGCCCGCCGCGGTGTCGCAAACGACCACGCACTCTTCGGGCATAAATCGCGCCGTGAAATTCGCGATTGCGTTTTACGCACAGTTTCATATTTTACGCAATTTGCGGTCCCACAGCCGCGGCGGGCGCAGGTGCAAATCGCTCCACGAGTTCTTAGCCTTACCTATTTGTGTTTGTCCAGTTAATATTATTTGTTGAAATCTGTTACTGCTTGTTATATAATGATAATGTGTAATTTAAGGTTCTCATACAATTTTTAATGCAATTGACATTTATCAGATCTCAGAATCAGATGAATAGAAATGAAATGGAAACAGACCCCTCTCTCCCAGTGGGCACTTTGAGCAGGTGCCCAGGGCCCTGCGATAGATAGGGCCCACCTCAGATCAAATACAAAGTCCCTAGTTCCTGTTAGATCACCAACCAGGGGGTATTAGGGGCCCCATTATCCAAATATGCCCATGGCACGGTAATAATATCTATACAGTATTCTATCTTCATACAAACGGTCGGAAAGCGAGTCATACCTACGCCACTCGAGTTCGATGGGCTCTCGGCGGGCACCCAGTCGCGAATGCGCCGCCGCGCCGCAACGACGACCGAACGGTCTGAATTGTTTTTTATGCAGTTAGCCGTGCTTATTATTATTATTTTTTTTTAATTACCTGAAATATTGGAAAGTTAAGACTATAGAATATTTTTTATATACCTATCTACTAGTACGTAATTTGTTTCTAATATTTAGGTATTTCGATTTTTCCATCGGGCAAAATATCTGGAATAATATATAAATAAGTGGTTTGGGTGAAAAAAGAGACAAACGAGTAATCTACCTACACTCGCGTTAAAAACAAAACTACATAATAGGTAGGTAGTTTCCTAGACTAGGCTATCTACTTACTTAACTACATACATTACTGAATAACTAAACTACATACATTATTGAATTAAATTAAATATCATTATGAAATAATGTACGAGAGTAATAAATGGTAGGTATTGTAGTGATCGGATCTTTTTGGTGTATACTGGCAATTAAGCAAATAAGGTAATTTGGAAAAGAGACGGATTGTTGTCAGGAATTCATAGCTGGAAAATAAAAATTAGGGATATTTGTGCAGAGTTAAAAAACAATATTTTGTTTATTGATAATAATAATATAATTTCTTGAAAATAAAAGTGTTTCAATGACAATAATTAGTTTGCATAAAACGATCCCTACAGTACCTACCTAGTAAGATTTACCTACATTGTAGGTAATTTCCTTACCCGACTGCGCCATGACTTACAAATAAATATAACTTGTATGTTTAAAATAATATTCTTTTATTGATTTATGTAAGAATAAAAACCAGCATTAACTTGCAATATAGGTAGGTATATCACTTTGTTTGTTCGGGTGGAATTATGAAACTCAATTTTGAAGCAGATATCTTCAACCGGTTGAGCTAAAATTTTGTATATACATACTCGTTTTGATTAAAAAGCACGGTTAGCTGTGTGACGTCATTCTAAATCCAACATGGCTGAATAGTTATTTTTAATGCATTCCTACGATATGGGTATATGGTCTTGCGGAGAATCTTTCTATATAAAATAAAATATTTACAATCACAAAACTAGAAAGAAACTCGATTATGTAGATGAAATTAAAATACTGTAGGCGGGCGGCCCTACCGCGTGCTAACGCAGCACTCGGCCGTAGGCATTTATTTTAAGGACAGGGCGGAGTCACGATACTGTATAGATTATATTACCGTGCCCATGGCATCCAATAGGTCAAAGACAATTAGAAATAATTAGTCTGTTAATCTGGTTGTGTCTAATTATGTAACGAAGGTCCCACTATTTTCGGTGTTAAAGTATCACAGATATTGCCAATAGAATACGCTTTAGGTTTTATAGTCATATTTTAGCCCACCTATGTAAGAAAGTAGTAACTTTCTTTTATTACCAAGATACATACTAGCATGTGGTTCTAGCCTATAAACACGCACCTGCAACACTAGACTTATTTTTTATTAAAAACAAACGCGTTGCCGACCCATTTTTGGTGTTTTCTTCAGTCTATCCCTGTGCTCTGGAAATTTTACTCACTGACGACGACTGAGAAACATAGCTCTACAAAAGATATTTTTATATACTCGCCTAAAAAGACAACGATTCTTTACCCAGCTTGACATTCCAATAGGGTGCTTTAGACTCCATTTGTTCCTCTTCTTATGTCACAAAAATATATTTTAAAATTCTAAACAAAATTATATATATAATATAATATAAATTATATAAATCCTTTTTAACGCTTTAGATGAGATTAAAGCACTTTATTTAGTATTCATTTCTTAATTATTATCATAACTAAGTGACTAGCGCATCACTGTTCACTAGTACCTAATATTACAAATATTTTTATGTAATAAACGTTAAATTAAACAGCAGTTTTTAACAATTAGCAACCAGTTATTGAGTTAGTCTAAAAGTAATAGCTAGGCTTTTTAAACGTTTTTGTGTATGAACTGTAACAGGATTTGTTAATAATAATAATAGGGAATATTCATGTACAGTGTGACCAAGATCTGTTACACTTATTTGGCATTGCCAGGAGGGCGCTGCTGGTGAATAAGTGATGAAACAAGGATAACTAAGTACGTAAAATCTCCTCACTAAAGGGAACGTTATAACTTCTATAACTCAAAAAGAGTAACAAGAAATTAATAGGCTTATTTGCAACCTCCCTTATAAATAAAAGGCTTATTTATAACATCATCAAATTAATTCCGATTTCGGCCACGCGCCACAAGAACTTGCTCGCACTGTAATTCAAATAAGGCTTTTTTTATATGAACTCGGTTTTGAATTATTGTCCCTCCAATATTTTTTAAATATAATTTTATTGAGCTACAAATAAATTATTAGTAATTGCGAAAAACATGTGCGAAATTGAAATGCACTAGCGCGGTTGTGACGTAGAATTCCTTAACAACAAATCAACAATCAAATGCCATGTTAACAGGATATGTCAAATTCTGTCATGTTTTACGGTTTATTATTTTAAATTTTATAGACATGTTATATTATTTTTTTGACGTTGATAATTTTATACTTTGTTAAGAGGATGTAAACTACTAAATATTTTTTTTAAACATGCATATTCCCTATTACATTTCGACAAGGATCTTTATGAATGTGGCGAAAATTGGAACTAAAAAGAGTCATATTTTGTATGCAATTCACGAAGACAGTGACGCCCTCCCGAACTGCCGTTCATAAAGATTCTTGTTGCACTGTATCTACGACTGCTCAAAACTGGATAACTTTAGCACTATAATATTTTTTAATAAATTAATTTCAATTAGATTTTGTTACACAACACCTTAATATACTTAGGGAAAAGAATAGAATAATGTTTCTAGATTTTGATGTGAACTATCTACAGATGCAAACAAGCAGATGCTTGTTTATTATTTTTGAAACAACAATTAAACTGACTGACCTATTATTTGTATTAGGTTTCTCTTTCTGTAGAGATTATTAGTATAAGTACAATTATTTTTTGAAAACATTCCTAATACATTCATTAATTATTCTTTTTTGGTGGAAACTTCATTCAATTGTTATTATAAGATATTTTTTACACTTATTTTCTGTGATATTTCACTTTTTTCACATAACCTACATATTTCTGGGACAATTCTGATTTGTTTTTTTTATTATTATATCCCACAAAAAAAACTTGAGGTTTAGTTCTCCCGAAAATCACGATAAACCGTTTAGCCCCTTAAAATTGCTCTGTATTTTTTTTCCACTTTTTACCATTTTCAAGGGGATGCCTTGCCCTGCCTCATCAGTAGGTACCCCAAAAAATAAAAGGAGACGGTTTAATGGATGGTAGTGAGTCTCTGGCAGACTCAAAATTTCAATGACATGTCTCAGATTAAAACAAAAAGGGAAGACACGGTACGCTCATACTAGCATCATATTAAATATGCTTCGTCTCAACTACATAAGCACACGCATACGTCTGTAAATAAACATTAAATCAAGCGAGGGAGACAATTGTACGCTTCGACGCAGCGCAAGCGAAACGGCAAGTCTGCGCCTGAGGCCGCACGACTGAGCTGTATTGTTGTCCTTTTGATAACAAAATGGCGATTATGTAAATAACATTCACGACAAACCGTGATTTTAGTGAAAAATATGTTTAGTTTTACAAATGAAAAGTATTGCCGAGGCATTTGTAATTTGATTTTTAACTACACTTCTGGACACATCTATTGGTCCACCTTAGAGTTATGGTTTCGATGGCCCCTACCGAAATATGATTGCTAGATTGAACAAAAACTGTTGATGCAGTTTTAAACCTGATACATTTTACCATCTTTTTCGATCGTATTGTTTTAAATTTGAATTCAGAATACCATACGACATGGAGCTACGCCTAACAAGTCGGATATGCGCCTTGTTAAAGGCAATTGATTTTTGAATAAAAAACATGTTTTATCAAATAAAGGTTTAATTTAATAACGCGTGTTGCCTCCATGGGTATCTACCACAGCTCTCATACGATTAGGCATAGAGTTTATCAACCGCTCTATGAAATTTTGAGGGATCATCTCCCATTCCTCTTCTATGGCAGTTTTCAACTCCTGCATCGTCTGGGCAACTGGCTGACGAGCCCTAACACGTCTTTTTAGCTCGTCCCACATGTGCTCAATGGGGTTCATGTCTGGGCTTCTGGCTGGCCAGTCCATAACTGTGATGTTCACATCCCGAAGATATTCCCTGACGATGTCGGCTGCATGGGCTCTTGCATTATCATGCATAAAAAGGAAATTTGGGCCCACATAGTCACGTCAGCCACATGGTATCACGTGAGGTTCTAAGCACTCACGAATGTACCTTTCAGCATTTAATGTTGGCAGCCGCGGTCCTGTAACAACCTCAAGTTGAGTATTGCCGCTCGCGGATATACCGCCCCAGACAGTCCATAAGCCACCGCCATAAGCAACCCTCTCTTCAAAGCAGCATTGTGCGAAACGCTCTCCCTTACGTCGGTAGACCTTCTTCCTTCCATCATTGCCATGTAACACAATTTTAGACTCATCAGAAAAGAGTACACGGCTCCAATCTTGCTGTGTCCAATTTAAATGACTGCGTGCGAAATGAAGGCGCGCTGTTCGGTGGGCTCGCGTTAGTTTGGGCCCATTAGCTGGCTTGTGTGGTACCATATCGCGTTCTTTTAACCTTCTCCGAACAGTTCGAGCGCTCACAGATACTCCGTGGAAGTCGCGAATTTGTTTTTGTATCTCAATGGAGGTAAGGTGACGATTTCTCAAGCTGGTCGTCACGATGAATCGATCCTGCCTTTCAGTTGTGACCCGAGATCGTGGCCTTCCTTGGCGACGAACAAAGTCGCCAGTCTCTAGGTACCTCCGATAAACATTTCGGACCGCAGATCGACTTAAATTAAGTTGAGCTGAGCACTCACGTTTCTTTGGCTGTGTCCGGCCTGAATAAGTGCCACAGCTTGGGCGGCGCCTTCAGGTGAAGTATCCATAGATTATTGATAGAACCTCACCTTAATGTTAAGAATAAGTAATGTTTGTTGCAAAACCAAAGATATCAATCACTTTTTCAAGAATTAAATCCAAGTAAACAAATAAAACCAAGTTTTCATAGTATTCGATTGTTTGATATCAACAAACAGGCTCCAAATTGTCTTTTGTTTCTTTAAATTCTGTGTTCGCAATTCAAAAAAAGACTATTGAATGAAATTGTGAATGTGCCAGGTTCAAAACTGCATAAAAACTTTTTGCTCGACCTAATATAAAATTTTAGCTAGGACCAAACGAAACTGAAAATACAAGGTGGGCCAATAGATGTGTCCAGAAGTGTATTTGTGTCCCATAAAAAAGGAATTGTTTTATCTTTATAACACAATATACGCAATATTGTTTTAACGAGTGCACATGCAGCGTGTTTGAATGTCCAATTGTGACTAAAGCGAATTATGGTCATGCACCACAATTAAAGAGAATCACTTTTGAGCCGCATTACCTTTTTGTTTTAATATAAGTGTCAAACGCAATTTGGAATTGAAGTTAATAAATAAATTGGGGTAAATAAAAAAATATAATTATCTGTTCATGTCATTATGTAAAACAAACTTCCAAATGATATTGCTACTGGAAACTGACAACCACTTTTGAACCATACCTTTACTTCTTTATTTACCAAGTTTCTGAATACTTTTGTGGAATTAATATTACTCAAGCCAAACTCCAGCAGTGTTATTAAAGAAAATTATCTTATGTTCTTCAAATATGAAAATCTAGCAGTTAAACCTTTAAATAAAATTGTGATGATATCAAGTATTCATTTGTGTGCATATAAACATACTTTTGCAAGTTACATTGTGTGTTTAACTGAACTTCAGCTTATTTGTAGAACTATTGTCACAGGTTATTTTCCTTTACAATTTTCCTAGCTCTTAGAATCTTCTATTATATACTGTCTATTTAATAATGCATTATTGTCAACAATATTTTTAAATTAAATAAAAAAATGTGTGAAATAATTGTTTTATTTTACAATGGAATAATTTAAGGCTTTTTCTTTTTGAATTGTTTCCTCTTCTTGATTTGGTCAGATATAGACTTGCTTTTGGCTTTTAGTTGTTTTCGTCTGATTGCCATATCTGGTTTACTTTTGTTTTTTTTCTTAATTGTAACAGGTTTAATAGTTTCAATTATATTGTCTTCGTCCATTTCCTCTGTAATATTAACAATTTCAGATATTATTTAATAGTAACAGCATTGTAGAACATTTTCAAGTTATGCAAAATTGACAGATACCTACCTTTTACTACAACTTCTTGAGCTTTTTCTATGGGATCACCTTTGAAAAAGTCTGGCCCTTCTATATCAGGATAACCAGTTTCAGGTCTTGTTGCTTCATACATTACTTTCTTTTCAATTCGCCTCTCATATTTATTAGCAGCTTTCTTTGAGTATGCTTGTCGAAGTTTAGCTGGGCTAATGTATTTCGGATTTTCCCATAGTGTTGTTCCACCAAAGGAGCCCGAAAATATTTTGACCTATAATGTTAATCAGGTGAATATAAAATAACCATAAATAACATTTGAACTGCTGTTTATGCTGCTTTAAATATACATACCGGATTCAAAACAAATCTTGGGCCAATTTCTGCTAAAGCACCATCTTCAGATAGAATCTGATAGTTTCTAAACCAAACTCTGTTGTCCAAAATCATGAATGTGTATACATGATCAAAGAATGGTTGACTTTTAGGATGGTGGTTTGGTACTCCAAATATTTGAGTAAGCAGTTCTTTGAGGAGCATGTAATGTGGATCTTTTGTGAACTGAGGATCAAATGATAGCAATGGCCTGGAACCCCTCAAACAATTACCAGTCATTTTTAATTCTGCCATTGTGTAAACTGTAAACAATAAATTGAAAACTGAAACCATTTCTTCTAATAGAAACTATAGCTGGCAATGAAAAGAAGCCACAGAAAATACTTACCATTTTCAACTAAAAATTTTACACTTGGTCCATTAGGTATGTTGGACATCCAAAGATACAGGTCTCTCATTTTTCGACCTTCAAACAACAAACATTTGTTGCAATTTTTCATTTCGCTAATTTCATTGACAACATACAGATTTTTACTTCTTTCCATTTTCGACTCCGTCTTATGGTGTGGCATCAACTTTTTAATATCTTCCATTATATGCCGGTGGCGATGGTTAATGCCACGAGTCGCAAAGACTAACACTCTTTGTCTGTTAATCCATTTTACCTATAATAGATAAATATGCGTTACATTAAAAATTATAGCTTAACTTTATGTAGGAAATGTAAAATCTTGAATGTAAACACTTACCTGTTTTGGAGCAGGTTCATCCGACATACGCATAGGTGGTAAAATAACCACATTTTCTTCAGGTTTACTCTGAGGTTTTTGGTTCTGTCCTTTAATTTTATTTGATTTAATCTTAACCATTTTATTTCGATTATTTTGTTTAGCAGCTTACATATAACAAACACGTGTATGAAATAGGTTATGAAATTGTTTTGATCAGAACCGAATCGAAGCCCCGAAGCCCCACGACCCACGAACGAACTTCAGATTTATTTGACAGCTCAGTATTTTTTTTTAAATTCTCCTTTTTTTTGGAAGGTTAAAGAAACAATGCACATACAGTCTAGTCTTTAGTTATATAATTCTTTTTTTTACATTAGAATGTCGGTGTGACGCATTCTAATGTTTCTTGGAGTGTTTGGTACAAAAAGCATCGAGTTGGCTTTTTCGATAAGCTTCTGTGAGGTAGTCACTTGACCAGGATAACGTATTTTTAAATATTCCACTTGTTTTTCAGTTGCACAGACGGTTGTAACACAAAATCACACTAATTTTATTTTACAATATCCACTATGAACAAATTTAACAATAATTAAAAAAAGACGCCTACCGTACTCGATGAAATCCCTCCAAAAAATTCCAACTCCTCAGGTCTGTTAACGTAGGCAGTGTTGCCAGGTTCATCAAAATATAGGCCAGTAACGAATGTGTTTCTGTGGCTTTTGCCGCTCCTCAAACTCATTTGTTTTTTATACAATAACATTTATTTTATTATAATTAAGGCGTACATTCTTAATGGCGGAAAACGCAACTCAACATGCAATTTAAAAAAGAAAAACGTATTCTATGAAAAATAGTAATTCATGAAGAAAAACAGGAGAAATATCAGAAAAACAGGAGATCTCCTATAAAATCGGGAGACCTGGCAACCCTGATCGTAGGGGTGGGCGTTATTAGAATAACGATGCCAGGTTTGGATGCTGATGCCATCTAGTTTTTGTCAACTTTACTATAGCTACAGTGCCACAAACTTGTCTGTGCCAGTGGAAATATCGCTAGTGGTGAACACATATGTTTAGATAAAGAATCAAATATGTCATTAAAATGTCAAAATGCTATGAATAAATTGTATGATGACCTCCATCTGTCAAATGTCGCTTGAAAAGTACGGTCTGCAAAAAAATCTTGGAACACTTTTCGTAGCACTGAGCTAATCTTAGAATAAATACCAAACATTTGTAAACAAAAGACAGAAATAAATCATATTTAAGGTAAAGAAAATGCATATTGGGAAAGGGAAGTATAAGAATTTTAGTTTTATTATACTCGTAAATACAGGTAATAATAAGACCATTTTTATTTTTAATAAAGTTGTAGTTTTAAAACCCACAATAATCAATATTTTATTTTATAGCCAAAAGCAGCAGTGATGATGAATACTCCGACGGTAGTGTAGAGATGAGCGGAATTAAAAAGCTAGATTCTGATTAATGTTTTATGAGTGAGAAAAACCATTAAAAATATTTTTATTAAAAAAATCTGATAAATTTTCTCACTTAATCTTGGTAAATAAGTTTTATTGAAGAAAAACTTTTTTGCTGACTCTACCTAACTGGTAAGGGACCTTTACGCACACTTTTTATACGCAGAATTACACAACCGGCTGTCACAGCAGCGCACGACAGACTAGTATTGGATATGTAAGAAAAAAATGAAAAAAAATCATGGTGTCACAAATCAATAATTAAGCCATACTAAAATATTATTTTTTAATACTTTTGCTCAAAAAAATAATTACGGAGGTTGTATACATTCTTCGAAAGTTCAAAATTATAGGCTATACAACGGAGTGTGTGGTAATAGTAATTACGTAGGTGAGGGCTATAAGAAAGCAGAGGCTGTAATTATCAAACCGCACGTATGTCATACGACGTTTTATAACACATTTGCCAGGAAATAATACTACCTACGTACGTACTTTCTGAAAATGAATCTATCCATGGATTTTTCGGGCAAGAGGCTTAGCGTAGCCTTTTTCGACTTCTGGCGGTGTCAAATTAATATATTCGATACTACTTGACAATATTTTCAAATAAAAAGAACACAATTTTTTTAGGCAAGTGTACAAAAATCAGCCACTGTTACTAATATAGGAAATTAATATTTTTGTGAATTTGTTACCGATACATGGTTGTAATTTAATGGCAAAATGAATCAAATTAAAGAATTAAATGTTTATATATTATATTTTATCTCCCAAAGTTGATTTTAAAGAAGAAAAATGTTGGCTAACTTTCTGAAATAAAAACTCTTTGCTAAGATTTAAAAAAGTATCGTTCGTTTTTAGACGGAACATAATAAGCCGTGCGTTTTACTTTACACTACCGCACGCGTGTGTAATGTGATAGACTATAATAATTGAAATTGGTGCAATAAGAGACGCTTTACGAGCAAATGTGTTATAAAACATTTTACCTCATACATGCATGGCGCCGTGCGTATCCTTTACGGTTTTTCTTTTAATTCGGTCGAACCTCTTTGGAAGACCTCTTTTAATCTATACCTTTGTCTCACTTTAGTACGTAATGCAGTTCTAATTTTCTTCACCCACAAGTGGCGCCATTTGGAAATGCCTGCCATTTTCTTATTAGAAAACAGTTTGCTTTATTACATAAATGAGGTATAGGTACAGTTTTCTCGTAAATGTGTTGAAAAACGTTGAACGAGATTCGTGCGGATTGGTATTTACAAAGTCGTGATTATGATAACATTCGTCTACTTGTTTGTAACAACCAACCACGGAGCACCCCCACTGCAACCAACGAATTCGAATAGTTTGCGAGTGCGTAATGCCAATGTCAAAATTTGTATGGAAACTTAAACAGCAGCGCCATAAAGTACGTTAAGAGAACTAAAAATCAGTACACATTTGACAATGACATTTCGGATGACATGATAATTTTCGCAAACGTTACGAATTCGATATTGGTTCGTGCTAAGGGTACTGAGCGGTGCTGCGGATTGGAGTGAAAGAGGAGGAGTACCTTCATCAGAAAGTTGTTAAACTAAATGAGCACAGGAGATTGTTTGGTGAAAAGGGAATTGGAGGGAGAAAAAGGATTGGAGGGTGAATTGGAGGTTGTAAAGGGTATTCGAGGGTGGAAAAGGATTTGATGGTGTAAAGATACACACGGCTGCTCCGACCGCCGTACTAATCGCCATAGGCATCGGCAGGGAGTTCAACCTCAGACCTTAACGAAACACATATATGTCACCACACATTACTCCATCAACGGCTGTCATAATAGCGACTAGCTACTCCCATTTTATCTCTCACCCCATATTTTAGGGCATCAGCGATCAGGCATATGCCCGGCGCCGCCTTCAGTCCGACAGCGTCTTAGTGGGTCTGCTTGGGGATCCTCGTTTCGGATCGTGTCTTGTCCTACTTTATCCACATTATTGAAAACTTTGAAGGTTTGAGCAGGATGGACCACGATGTCGATAACGATATATCGACAATTAATCCATTTCAAGAGTACAGAGACCGGAGCACAAATTTATACAGCTCCGCAATTATATCGATGTCGTGGCCATATCGTAGATTTGCTCACTTCATGTAATGCTCGAGAATTTCATGAAATGGGCAACTTAATTTGACCAGATCATTAAATCGTCAACATTTAACGATTTGGTCATCCACATTTGGCCGGATCGTATAATTAGGGTGTCCATAAAATATTTATTAAAAATCCAGAATATGTAAGAACTTGTTTATTGTTATTTAAGTCCGTATGACACAAACAAATTTAATCACATTTTTGTAACAAAATAAACAAATTAAAGTTTTTTTTTCCTAAATTCAACATCAAACATGTCAAGAACTTACACATTTATATTTAGAAAACTATCAAATATTTAGAAATAATAAGGTACTTTTGTACATATTGCAATAGTAGACTAACTGTTCTTCCAGGGCCCAAACGGTAATACTTCACACTAGGTTAGGTTAGGTTAGTGTTGTGACCATGACGCGCGAGCCGAGCGAGCAAAGCGAGCGTGCCGCGGCAGCGGCCGGCGAAGCGCCAGAAAAAAAATCTAAAGAGACCTTTTCTACAAAAGAAATTCAAGTATCACCTCTTAGGCCCTGGAAGTACAGTTTTACAGTATATCTTTGTACGGCATTGATTCTCATCCGCACTTTGTACCTCATTTTGACAGCCAGTAATAGTCCATAGATTTCTTTTACGTAGTCACCCTACTCTCCTTAATTTGTTTCGTCGAAAACCCTATAAATATATAAATAAAGCGCTTGCAGCGCCTCTACCGGTAATTAATGTTTAATATGATCTTATGATCTTATGATTGGTAACTTTACAATATGATCAAATAATTTTTGCCATTTCATGAAGTAGCCACTCGTTTAGTTGGCCATATCGTGAAACGATTTCTCATCATTGATATGCCCAAACCACATCATGATGTGGCCAATAGATAGTGAAACATTTCATGAAATGCGACCATTTCATGAAATTCTCGAGCATTTCATGAAGTGATCAAATATACGATATGGCCACGACATCGACATCATCAAATTTTGTATGGAAGGTGCCAGTTTGTTCTTACCTCTGGTAGAAGCGCTGCTTAGTTTGTTTTTGATGATGCGATACGATTACGCTGATTCAGATATGAATCAAATTCAGAGACGATGATTGCCACCCATACCAAAATTATGGGGTAAATTGCTTTGAATCTCTTCCTGTCCTGTTTACCTAGTGGCATTAGGGGGTCTATCACGATAACTCAGGGTGATTTTGATAATTTAAACTCAATTCCTTTTTTATTATCGCTTAACATTCTATGAAGATTTATTATTTATGTTCCCTTCACTGTGTGAAGTCCGTCATTAGCTTAATGTACCTTCAAGGAATTCCTACCTACCTATATAGTTACCATTAGATAAACAGAACACAGATCTTTCTTTATTCTGTGTTATATATATGGTAGGGAAAGTTTACTTTTAAAAAGTCAGAAAAGAGTCTAAATTATGTTTCAAATAGTCTACCTTGTAATAGTGTGTCGGTAATGCATATAACATTACCGACACACAGAATCAGTATTACTTAAGTTTACGACTGAGGGCCAAAAACACAGCAAAAAGTTGGTAAGCGTCAGTGTGCTTGCCAACTTTTTGCTATGTGTATGTGGTGTGGCCCTCAGTCTTATACATGTATACAGGCTAGTAACGTACTTAACATAGAC